TCAACCCAGTGTTACCCAGGCCTACACCAAAGCAACACTGTGCTAGTAATACCCAAAACAAGCTAACAGATGTTTTCAGTTATTGCAAAATCTCATGGTAGCCGACTCTCCCCTAATCATCTTATCATAAACAGATGCTAATTGATTCGTTATTGAACCTTAGCATTCGATTATTCTTCGAATCGCTAACGGGAAATGTTGGATTTCGCTGCTTTTAATTAATTGCATCGGCTCAAAGTGGATTGATTGATTGATTGGGTGAAGGTTTAACTGTATAGACACAGTTGACTTAACATTACGCTAATTCGAACCGCAAATCTAGTAAGATTAAGCAGGAGTTAAGTTTGATTTTTTCAAATGACCTCTCATGATAGAAACAATTTTATTTGAAAGGTACATAGTGTTTCCTCATAAGTGGACACCTCCTACGATATTTAAAAATTGTTGGTGTCTCCAGAGGAAAAAGTCAAATGGCGTTAGGTCTGGAGATCGTGGTGGCCACTCAATAGGGCCTCGTCCACCACTCCATTTATTTGGATAATGATCATCCAACCACCGTCTTCTTTAAAATGTAGTAAATCGTTTCAAAACAAGTTTCCTTGAATGCCTGTCTGGTTTTCCACTTTTTGAATAATTAAGGGCTCAATCCTATTCCGAAGCATCTCGGCATGAACTGCACCACTCAAGTTTCCCGCTATAAAGAGAGCATGCCCGACTTATGAGGAACCACCTGGTACAAAACCAAAAAATACCTTTCTAATTTCAGGTGTTCGCCCCCAGGGGATGGATATGGTTGCAACTCCCCCTGCGAAAAATTCCGCGATGACGACATCGGGGACGACCTCCAATGCGCGCGAAGAATCTTCAGAGAACACAAACGCATATCGGGAAACGGGTTTAATGCCTGGGTGGTCTATCCGTTGTACTGCGCCCAGAACACCACCCAGTATGTCCAGGACTGCCCGGAGGAACCCTCGGGACCGGCCAAGCCTGCTAATGGCACCAATAATGAAATATCAGTGGAGGAAGAGGGCGATGGGTACCACTTTCCGGCGTTGCCCAGCCTTGCAAAAGATCCACCCCAGCAGTCTAGAGCGGAGAAGCAGTTGCCATTTTCAAAAGTTTCCATACATTATTCTGTCCCTGTGAACAAGGAGGCGTTTCCCCAGCTTCCTTTCAACAAACACTCCATCCACCACTTCATTCCGCTAATGAGTGGTTCAGAGCAGGGCAGCCCCACTTCTGAGCCCAGCGAATCGACCACCTTCATGGAAGAAAATGAGGACTCGTTAGTCACTACTATGCGGTCTTTTCCGACTTCGCCAGAAAATCGGCCCTCTGAACCTTTGCTGGCCAGCAGCTCCATCCCTTTAGGCAGCATAGCCAGAAGGGCCAAGACCCTGATGGCCAAAAATGAGAGTTCGCCTACAAATCCGCGTCTGGCTTTTCGTTCAGCTGGGCAAACCACCGAAACTCCAGAAGGAAGGCAGGTCACCTTTGCACCGGGCTCTTTCTTCAGTTGGATATTCAACAGTCAAACCTTACCGCCCATTCTGCCGCCCGCAAGGCCTCCACGACCTCAAGGAGGGCCCGGAGGAGGAAGACCTGGACAGGGTCCAGGTCCAGGCCCGAACAGACCTGATGGGTTGCTGACGACGCGCCGGCCCCTTCCAATGAGGCCTCCCCGTAGAAGGCCTGGAGGTATCAAGCCTAGCTCAGCTTCAGCAGATAGAGCTAGGAAGTTTGTGAAGCCTGCTGGCGCTGTGGAAGTGGGCCTGGACGACAATTTCGTCTTTCTGCGAACCATGTATGGGTATCGGCTGCTGAAGGTGCAAAGATAGGGTCTTATTGCAACCGCCCGACTCCAAGACTGATTCTTCATATTGCTCAATAGTAGTTTTTTTAAGTTGTATATTTTTAAGGCGCCCCTGTCCTGGTGTCTTTTCCCCATTTGCTGTACGCCGACTCAAGGTATCTGGACAAGGTGGCAGGCTTGAACCCTGACCCGTCGAAGCATGCCATGTTTGTTACTTTGGAACCAGTAAGTGAAATTGGCGATGCTTTCGCATGCCCGCAGACGATGCCTTCTTTTGCAGACTAGCGGAACTCCGTTGAAGGTGGCCAAAAGAGTGCAATTCAACCTGCTGCTGAGGTCAGTCCGGAATATTACGAGCTTGGAAGCTGTAGGGAAGTCGATTGTGCCCATGTTTTGGATCGAGGAGGTGAGCGCTCAATATTGAATACATTTTTATCGCAAATAATCATCAGTGAAAACGAACTACTCCGAGTTTTTCTGATTTCAGTCGACGACTTTGCCGGAAAAGTACCAGGACGTTATTAAAAACAAAATATACCGCACTCTGCTCATTCTGGACATAGTCAGATACGCAGTTCTTGCCTTGGCTCTTACGGTTATTGTTTGTTGCATCGTATTGTTCATTTATGCCACGTAAAAAATTGTCATTAACTTT